TATATAATTAAAAAATAAAATTTACTATAATATTATATATATTTATAAAATTAATTTAAAAAAAAAAATTTTTTTAAAATTTTAATTTTTCATAAAAGTAATTCAGAAGGGAATTTATAGTAAATAAGCAGGCAAATTTGCCTGCAAACCTCTACAGTCTAAGGGATAAAGAATATTAGATTATGAAATAGTTTTTGGATTATGATATTATGAGATAATAATCAGTTTATATTTGTATCATCCAAAGTATAGAGTGATAATCAGATTATATCTGTATTATTCAGATTTTGAAGTGAGTTATAAAGTGGTAATAAGGTTATATTCAAATTATGAAGTGGTAGTCAAAACCTAATCTAAGTGGTATAATCTAATTAGATTAAAGAGTGTTATACCACTAGTTATTAGATAAACCGATTATAATTGACTCTTTATATATTAATGTTAATTGGATCACATCTATTTAGCATGAAGAATTAATATAAGAATTAATCGTTTTGAATTTTGTTAGTTAAATTTTACACGATTGAATATAAATAATTTAAACATTTTTAAAGATAGATTAAAGATATTATTTTGTTTGATGCTCGACACTATACTATTTATATTATACTTTATAAAAAAAAAAAAAAAATAACAAAAGCATATCTATCTATATTAAACATTTTTCAGTGAATCCATAGGATAATGATCATAAAAGAACGTCACTTAAGTTTGACTTTTTAATTTAATTCAAAAAAAAAAATAAAAATTTGCGTTTTGAAAAATTCCTGTAAAAAAGAAGGAAATTCCCTATTGTTACTCACCTTTTTTTTTTACGACACTTTTAGTTGTAAGATCTAACCCGGATCGTACTTTTTTTTTCAATTTCATTATCGTTAACATACCACAACAATAATTAAATAATGTAATAATAAATTTTCCAATAATTATAGTAATTACGTTAAGTCTCTAAAAGATAAGTTTGAACGGCAATGTTATATCTTTTTAGTTTGGTCAATTCACCAAACGATTTTCATCTCACATCTGTGTACGACGGATGTCCTTTTTTTTGTATATATATGATTTTATAATAATTAAAAAATCACACTTGAAATTTGTCATTGAATTAAATCCATTTTTGTAAACGCATGAATTAGAATTACCACGTGTGTTCTACTTACCTTTCATATTAAGAAATTTTGCAGTTTGGTAAGATTTTCGGTGTGGACTAACGATAAATAGCCTTGAAAGATAAATGATTTTCTCCGATGTATGTATACATGTTCAAATTTATACTTATAGTAAAGTTGATAAAAAATAAAGGATTGAGAATTTTTTTTTTTTAAAAAAAAAAAAAAAGTCTTTAATTTCTTTAATTTATAATAGTATTTTTAAAACAAATCCGGCATGGAGCATTTCTTTTAGAAAAGAAAATAAATTCATATTGAAAAGGACAATTTTGTAATTTAACTAAATCCTTTATTAGATAATCATCATGAAAAATTTCGTAGATCTCCCCGAGGTTTTGAAAATCTATCAGATATCTATTCCGATTTTCAAATTAAAAAAAATTCTCTTTATATCAAGACAATTGGAATAAAAAAAAAATATCATTCAGTCCTCGAAATGCTATTTCACTTTTTCTCTTGCTCTTGATAGAATTGACCCGAAAAAAAAAATTTAACTTAGTCTTTACAAAAAGTACTTTATCATGAGTAACATTGAAAGTTCGCGCCCTTCGATAGAAGAGGCACCGCTTACTCCAATGACAGAAATTCCATACGATTCTATCGCTCCAAGCACAACAAGAGATTCAATTATCACATACAGTACTGACTTGGGAGATAGCAGTATGACGACAGATTACGTATATGAAAATAAAGAAAAGGAGGTATCCTCAGGAACACCCAACCCTCCAGCTTTTTATCGTCGAAAACGCTTTTGGGCGTTATGCGCAGCGATTTCTACCATTATAGCCGCCATTTTCATACCCCTTCTTTTCTTGGTTATAGTTCCAAACGTGGCTCAAAGCACGGTTAATAAGTCACAGATCAAATTTCTTGTAATAAACATCACACAGGCAACCAATGATGGTTTCTTGGTTGAGATGTCAGGAGTGGCTTCAAATGCTGGTATTTTTGACGCTACATTGACATTTAATGGACCCTTGAGCGTTATATATAAAGATAATAAGATTGGTACGGTTAAATTAGACGATCTTAAAGTTTCCGGAGGAAAAGGAGATGTATCAGGGATTAATAGTTTTACCATTGTCGATAAACAAGCTTTTGAACAGTTCACAGGTGATGCGATGGTAGATGAATTTTTTGAATGGACACTTCAAGGAAGTGCGAATGTACGTGCATTAGGAGTCACCACAAAAAATTTAAATGTCAATAAAGTGGTCAAAATCCCCGGCGGTAATGGTTTTAAAAGTAAATTGACGAATTTAAAAGTTAGTCAGAACCAAGATAATTCTTTTAGCATGGAGATGACAACAATTTTAAATAATAGTTCCCCTCTTTGCATGGAACTTGGAAATTTGACCCTTCAAGTTTTAGCTGGAGATACCGTATTGCTCAACGTAACTTCCAATTATTTCTACCTTGTTCCTAACGAAAATACGTTAATCTTGTCAGGAATTGCACAGATGCCAACAAGTGATGTAGAAAAATTAATGTTTTTAAGCGTTATTGAAGCTTATCTATCAAATAAACCCATCAACGCAACTGCTAAAGGAGTATCTACTTCGCTCAATGGTGGACCGGTGGATTGGTTGGAAGCAGCTGTTGCGAGTTTAACATTACATACCGAAGTGGGAGGTGCTGATAAACCCCCACAACTCATAACATCAGTTGATCTTGGTCAAATGAGTATGCAGTTTACACCTGAAACAGCTTTCTCACCGTTAATATCTGCGAAAAATACAACGGCCAATTTCGTCCCACCATTTGCCATTCCATTTCAAATTTTGTCCATACAACAAGAGTTAAATATTAATTATAATGGAAAACCCGCCGCTACAGTTCAAACCCCTGATACACCAGTGACAACCGCCAACGGTGAAATCTCCCTTGATGTTCCGGAAACTCACTTGCAAGCTTCTGATGGATTCTCTGACCTTTTGACAGCTTTAACGACAACTGATGGATCTGATGTTGAAATTACTGGAAAGGCCAACATTACGGCGAAAACTCCATTGGGCCAAACTATCATTCATGAAATTCCTTTTAATGTAACTTCCAGAATGGAAGGTTTGAACGAATTTAATAGCCCCGGAGGTGCTCCCGTCGTTAACAATATTAGTGTTTTATCTGGAAGTCCCAAACAAATTATATTAGGTTCTGTCGTAACTCTTATAAATCCTACGTTATTTTCCGCTTCCATCGGCCAAGTAGATTTTAATCTGTATTCCAACAATAGCCAAATTGGAACTGTTACTATCAATGATTTATCCGTTGTCCCCGGACCTAATCCACTTGCAGTTCTCATTACTTTAGATGATCCTGCAAATAATGCTGGAAATGATGTTTTGATTTCTTATCTTAGCGGTAAAGACACAGTTTTAAACATCAAAGGTTTCGAAACTTCAACAAAAGTAGCTAGTTTGGTACCAGCCTTCAAAGCAATCGATATTCCAACACCTTTACCTCCATTCAATCTACCACTTGTCACAAAAGTTAACATTGAAGTCACTGCAGAATCCGCAAGAAATAATACCCTCATAACAATTATTGAAATGACAAATCCTTTTGCTGCACCATTAACGGTTTATACGATGGATTCAGATTTTTCAGTTAATGGAACGACACTTGGATCAATATCACTAGATCTAAAAGATCAACCGATCTTCGTTCCAGGCAATGCCATTTCAAAACTTGGATTTAATGTTAAAATGTTACTTGACCCTACATCATTGATTTCACTTATGAGAAATTTAGCTATAGCAAAGGGCATGGATGTTACGGTGCTTGACTTTTATATTGGATTACTTCATTTAAATATTCCTGGAGCTAATGCTAATGCAATACCTACCCCTGGAGCTGATATTACAACCTTTATTAAAACAGCATTAAAGGAAATTCCCACACATGTCAATTTAAAAGCTCAAGCTGCAATTGGTGAATATTTTCTACCGTCGTTCGAATATCAACAAGATGTTACCGCAGAAACAGATGATACCATATTACTTTTGCTTATTTCATTTATATTTCCGCAGAGCAAATGATTCCATAATATATATGCTTCTTCAATTCTGAATCTGAAATAGAGATTTCAATTTGTTAAAATAATATAATAGATGGATATGAATTTATTGAATGTTGCTTAATTTGTAGTTTTTTTTTAAAAAAGAAAAAATAATTTAATCTTACGACCATTTACTTAATTTCTTCCTAATTATAATTTAATTTACGTTATATTTTCTACCGATAAAAATATTTAATTTCATAATAATAAAAGAAATTTTTTTTTTTCTGCCAGTCAAATATCATCATCTGTTGATCAAAAGATCTCAAATTAATATAAATATACCATAAAATTATGCGATTCTCTCCAAATTCTAATGTCTAACGTTTATGGTATATCTTTCTTTTAATATTTCTACATCATAGGTACTATAAAACTAACATTTCTTAATTTATTTAAAAAGAAGTGACCTCGCTTTATTCGATTGACACGGAATACAGTGCAGATTCTGTAGAATTTTGTCCATTTGAACAATTTTCTCAGTATTTGGCATGTGGTACTTATCAATTATCGGATTCGGATTCTTTAGCTAAACAAGTTACTACGACACAAATTAATGAGCATCAAGAAGAAGAATTCAATAAAATTGATGCGCCAATGAAGAGACTTGGTAGGTTACTATTGTATGAAATTAACAAGCATGATGATGAAAACAAAGTAAATTTGTAAGTTTTTTAAGAAAAAAAATGACGGTAAAGATTCCTTTTTTTTTTGCCTTGTATATAAATAAATTCTTTAATATACAGGCAGGAACTGCAAAGAATTGAAACATCTGCAATACTCGATATGAAATGGTAAATGGAATTTTTATAATTATTATAAAAAAAAAATTTTTTTCATTAATTTTTTTTTTTTTTTAAAAAAAAAAAATTAGGTCACATCAATTTATTAATGATAAGATTATCTTAGCAACAGCAAATGCAACAGGAATAATCGTTTTATACAACTTGAATCAAGATATAGTATGAAATCTTTTCAAATCATTCCAGATTCCAATTTTTGAACATTAATTAACTCTCGAATTTCTTTTGAATTTTTAAGGGGAGACTTGATTTGATTGCCAAACATATAACAAATAATGAAGACAAATTATGTCTTTCACTTGATTGGTCAAATCGAATTGAAGACGCGAGAAACAATAAATCTATCGTCGTATCTCAAAGTGATGGAAATATTGTTTTGTTATCAGTGGATAACCAACTCGGAATACATGAGACAAATAAGTGGTTAGCTCATACTTTTGAGGCTTGGGTCGCCGCTTTTAACTATTGGAATACGAATATAATATACACTGGTTGACAATTTATTAAGTGATTGATTTTTATTTTTTTTTTATAAAATTATAAAATGATTTACAATCCTTTGATCAATATTAAGGTGGAGATGATTGCCTTTTTAAAGGATGGGATCTAAGACAAAGTCAATCAACTCCCTTATTTTCGAGTAAAAAGTATGTAAAGATTTGCCTAACAACCGAAAACAATGATATCACTTTCTCATTCATCAAAACCATTTAAACATTTTAAGACATCAGGCTGGAGTATGTAGCATTCAATCTAATCCACATTCAGAATATCATTTAGTCACAGGAAGGTAAGTTGAAATTTCCAAGTTCGTTATTATATATTTGTTTTATATATATATATATTTTATTTCAATTACAGTTACGACGAGCGTATATTATTATGGGATACAAGATCTATGAAACAACCAATATATGAACATAACATCGGAGGTGGTGTATGGAGATTAAAATGGCATCCAAAGAAAGATTATTTATCGGCGGCCTGTATGCATAATGGATTTCATATAATTGAGGTTGACGGTGATAAAACTATGAGGACGGCTTGTAGTTTTACAAAACATGAATCCCTCGCTTACGGAATCGATTGGAATTATTCTGATAAATGGAAAATTGAAAAATCATCATATCCATTGCTTGCGAGCTGTTCTTTTTATGATCATGTCGTGCATCTTTGGTAACATGATTATCTACAATTATTGAACTCGTGAATAATTATAATAAAACTTAATCATTGTGATACAATCAAAAAAAGACGCAAGTCCCGTCGTTGAACCTCTTTTTATTGAAACGTGAAAAAGGAAAACTTACATGCGATTAATCATCTTGAAAAAGGGTTTGGATCGGGAACTATCCATGTCTCATATGATCCAAATACAATGGGTATTAATAACCGGAATTTAAATAGGAATTATTAACAAGTGTAACCTATGTTACTTGAATGTTTACAATCGAAGTAATCGAACTGAATTAAAACAATAACAAAAACTTTACACATTGTTATTTGACATTTCATTTGCATAAATTTGTCTTATGTAAATCGTTAGATTTTTAAAATCGTAATTTTAGAAAGAAAAAAAAAATATTAAATAAAACTTTTAGTTCGATTTTTTGTGTATCGAATTTACCGTAAACAAAATAAAAATCTAGTAAAAATATAAACGAAAGGAAATTTTATTCAGATCGACAAAAAAAATTTTTTTTTTTCTCTCTTGTGTAAATAAATATTTACGTATTCTCGTTTCACAGAAATTTTTTTAAAGTTATTTGTGAGAACTATAAAATAGATCAAAATTCGTGCGAAAAGAAATTTTTTTTGTGGTTTAATCCAATTAATCCACCAAAATTAAGATGTATATTTTTCTTGAAATAATGAGGCACCAAACAATTAAAAGGAATCGTTCTTTTAATGCCTTATCATGAATTCGAGGTAGAAAGGTTAAAGGTAAATAAATATCCTTTTCTTAATTGATGAGCACAATCTACACCAAAATTACTAACAATTGAAGATATTTGTTAATTTCTAGTTCTTCTAAATAAACAAAATCGAGCTCGATCTTTTTTTTTTATTTCTTATCGTCTATACAGTTATCGTACAACTGGATTCCTTTTTTTTATTTTTCGTTTTTAATCGGAACTTTTTCCTTTAACTCGAGTTCAATTATGTAAATGATCAATTAATATCTTACTAAGCGTAAAATATTTGCAAATTTCATTAGAATTATAATTACGATGGTTTAAACCAAATCAAGTCAAAATCAGTTATTTATCAGTTCTTTCTTCGTTTTATTATTAATTGGAAGTTTATCATTATGTATGTATGAATCGATTGAATCTAATAAAAAATTATTACAATTTAAGACACACAATTCATGCATCATATGCCATTAAAAAAAAAAGATTTTACATGCATGATTGATTGTTTTTTTGTTCTAGTTGAATTATATTTCTCGCGCAGCAAACTATTTTTGTAAACTGTTGAACTTTAGGCAGTGGCTTGCAGCCCCTGCTACTTACGTTAACGATGTGCAGCATTTAATTGGTTACAGAAGTTGTATTACTTTTATTGCTCTTTTTATATTCTTTCAAAAATGTCAAATTACTAATATAACATAATAATAATAAATTTTTCTTCGGTAAAGTCATATGTAACATACATTGAATGATTTTATGGCCACTTAAAGGGTAGTCCTGTATCGTAAAAAAATATTTAATTGTTGCACAATGTAAAACAAAATAATCACTTACAAAACTTTACCAGTGTATTTGTCAATTTGAAAGGAATCTAATAAATATCGATATCGTAAATAATTAATTGAATGGGCATTAAACAAAATAACTGACGGTAAATACTTTTCTCACCACGTGCAAAATTTTCGAGATGAGTATTTTGATTTGATGTAAAATCATTAATAACTTCCGGAAGTTGTAAGGGACGACTCGTGTAATGGGCATTTGGATGGTGGTTCGTATAAGGTATGTTTGGATTATTTAATAATTTCTTTTTTTTCCAGTCATCAGCGGCCTTGAAATCAGAATAACATTCCGTGGGTCTCTTCTGAGAAAATTCCTGTTTAATGAAAGAAATATTATCATACCAATCCGTCAAATTTCAATCTCTAAATTCATTCGATAATTACCATATGCCAATACTTGAGAGTATTATAGACCTCTTCCGCTGTGGGCCTTTTGGAAGGGTTAGCGTCCCAGCATAATTTCATAAACCTCGCAAAAGTTCGTGGAGTTCCTTCCAGAATATTTGGTCTTAGACCATGAAAAATTTCCAAGGCTAAATTCGTATCATGAGATCGATCGTACAATGGAGGGAGATAGGTACACATTTCCCACATTATAAAGGCAAAACTATAAATATCGGATTCCTTTGTATATACTTTGGTGCGTAAAACTTCGGGTGATACGTAAGGTAAAACACCATAAATTTCTTCCTTTTCATCGAATTTATCAACGGGACGACAAAGACCCAAATCTCCAATGAAAGGGATTTCTTCATGTAATAAAATATTATTGCTGTGAAGATTTTTATGTATTAATCCTAATGCATGCAAGCTCTTTAACCCTCCCGCTATATATTGTAATATAAGTAACTTTCTATCCCATGTTATGGTTGAATAATTTTTTTTCAAGTAATTTCGAAGATTTCCATTATTTGCAAATTGCATTATGATTACATATTTTTGAGTTGTTGGATTTTTCGAGATTCCTAAAATTCTATTTAAATGGTTTTTGACGTGTGATGGAATAGCTGGGCGGGTTCGAAGGGATGGCATCATCTAAAGAAATATTTATGCATTCGCTAATTAATAATAAAGATAATAATCGTAAAATCCTTTATCGGGAATGACCTGTTGGAATACCTCTTTAAAGAATTCCGCGGTTATGTTTCTCGAGTTGTCCAAAATTTTTACGGCAACTTGCGTCGCTCCGTGCCTTTCCCACCTTTGTCGTAAATAATTCCATCCAATTCTTAAATCTATTTGACCTTCAGTCCAAGTTGCTTTTTGGACATTTCCGAATCCACCTTTACCAATCATTTTAAAACCCGTTAATCGATCATAAGGTATCCATTCTAAAACTCGATTTCTTGAAGAAGCGTTAATTTGTATGTTTCTTATGAATTTATCGATATCTCGGTTTCCACTTGACCATTTTGTAAAACATATTATGAAATGTTTCGAATTGCAAGTCTGACACCAATTATAACTAGTATTACATTCCCCACAATCTAGACATTTTCCGTAATCCATAACTTTTCTATACACTGAAATCAGTATCGCACGGGATTTCTTCGCTCTACTTTTCTTACTTCTCTTGTGAGTTAAATCTGCCATGTTTTATTGTTATTAAGAGAAAGATTTTTTTTAAGCTTTTTGCACTTTTTTCGCTGCAACGCATAAAAATGGTTTTTGAAGGAAATCTTATTTAAATTTTTAAATTGAAAATCCGTCTTTTAATATTTTTTTATTTTGTTTTAAATTCTCACATGGCATTTCTGAAAATCAAATGTCTTTATTTTTATTTCAATACTAAGATGGAAAAAAATTTTTATTATGAAATTATCAAAATGAATTTTTTTTTTTATAAAAATTTTTTTATTAAGGAAATCAAGTTTTTTTTTTTTTGATTAATTAAATTTTTTAAATGGAGCTACGTTTAATAAATAATAAACTTTTTTTTAAAAAAAAATTTTTGTATATGGTAACGTGAAAATTATAAGAATGCCCTAACGTTTCGCTGTTTATTTATTGGTTTCGTATTTAGCTTGACCTTTGATCCTGTCACCTTTTCCTTCAGCTTCATATTGTGGATCTCCTGTAACTTGGCCAACTTTTTCCTTTGTGGCCCCTTTTACTTTATCGGTAGTACCTCCAGCGACATTTCCGGCTTTTGCGGTTTCTACTTGTTGATTTCCGGTTCTACGTTCATGAGCACCGGATTGTTCAAGCGAGGGTTTGTTTAAAGTTGATCCTAATGTTTCTTTTACTGCGCCTTTTACGGCGTGAAGTTGACCTGTTGTTTTGGAAGGTCCTTTCTCTTTATTGGATTCAGCTGCATTATATTCGGCATTTCCTCTCTCTTTGTTTTCCATGCCTTGAGCTTGATAATTTTCGGAGCCGATGGCTTTTCCAACTAAAAAAATCATGAGTAAAAAAAGGTTATAAACTACAAAAATATCCAATTAATTTTATTCAACATTTTTAATAGATATCTACCATTATCTTTTACGGCGCCACTAGCATATTCAGCATTTGCTTGAGTTTTGCTTGGTTGTTGAGACATTTTTAAAAGACTTTTTTTTTTTTTTGATGAATAAAAATTTTTTTGATGATAATTTTTTTTTGATTTTTCTTTAGAAATGTGAAAAACGTCGTTGCTTTTATAAAGTTCAGAGTGGTCAAGCTCTAACGCTTATTTGATAGATGATATCACACGAGCGGGTGTCATATATACGTACGGGTTGTATCATAATTTCATCATAACACAGGCCGATCGGTTAGTGACCACTTATTCTTTAGTATTCCTAAAGGGAACATGTACTTTCGTCATTGGTTTAATAATCATGACATTTTATTAAATTTGTTATTATTATTAAACCTTATATTTTTTTTAGAGGAATTTTATAGCCAACTAATAATAATAAAGATTATTACATCATAGCTTGTTGGCCATTTTGCTCTCGAACTAATATTTTTATAAAATCAGGTTATCCGTTCCGTCTATTATTAGATCTAAGGTTTAATGTTTAAGTACGGTAATTATTGTATCTTAAAAGCTCCAATTTCAATTATCATTTTCTAAGATCCAAGTTCCACATTCGTTCGATTCTTAAAGTGGAAGTTTACCTTATCAACTTTTATCAGTATCACTAGAAAATTTTCATACATGTAATTTTTTTGGCCGGCATTATAAGGATTGCTTAATCACATTAATTAAAAAAAAAAATATGATAATATGGGAATATTAGATTCCGCATTTGAGTTTTTTGATTCAATGATTAGTAAATATCGCAATGCAATAGTTGCCTTAAATATTTCGCTTCCAATCCTAATACGTTCATACTGGTTTATATTTGGCGAAATAACAATATAATCTTTTGTACTTTCTTTGAAAATTAACCTTTTAGAAACACTGATAATTGTCACAAATTCTCATTCATATGAGGCATTATAATATTGAACTAAAAGGTCATAGATATCGTCTGGTAGAAATACATGATTTTTTCTTGAAGCATTTCTTCAGGAAATACCTTACTTCTGATTATGGTAACATCCAATTCGTTTCAGAAGATTTAACTAAATTGGTATAATTCAGCGAATCCATCATACATCACTAAACTTCTAGCTGTAGACCGAAATTTTAACCAATTTACCGTATTTTACCGAAAATAATCACATCCCGAAAATAAGCACATTTGTAAAATTTATTGTAAAAAAATTAAACAGACATATTATAAATGCGAAATAATGTTTACAATAAAAGAAATAAGCTATTGTAACTTGTTAAAAGTATTATTGCTAATAAATTTTGTCATCAGTTTCACATTACCAATTCCTCAATTTCTGATTCTACTATATCGAATATCAACATCTATTAGTTTCGATTTCTGATTCCTCCTCGTGAATCTGTTACACAACACTTCTTAAAAGATTTTAAAAATAATTTCATCAGAGATTTTATCCCATGATCACTTAACCTAACTGCATACATCACTTACTTTAGCACGCCAAAGGTTTCTGTTAGCAGTATCTCCAGCACTGCTACTTGCTATCTACAGATGCCACTCTTTGCGAAGGTTATCCTTAAATGACTAATTGATTGCAACATCAAAAGGCTGGCAGATACTTGTTAATTTGTCAGGAATGACTGCTAAATAAATGTTACTTTTGCAAAACTTATTTTTGATCGATCCTTCTAGGTGGTCTTTGAACAAGTCATATACTAACATTGTTGGATCTTTAAATCTATTATTATTAAAATAATTAATGTATGTCTTCATCAGGTTAATCAATCCATCTGTTCTTCTGAAACCAAATGATCACACTAGAAGGAATTTTTCATCAAGTGCTAATCTCTTTCTCTTAAATATAAACCCTTACCAAAAATTTCTAGATACTATTTTTTAGGAGCTATTTCATACTGATTATATCATGTAACTGTATAAAACTACGGTTATATAATATTTTAGACATTTTTTATTTGAATTAAACCAAATAAATGTATGTTTGGTTTATTTATTTTGATTTTTAATCAAAATAAAATTTTATCTATTAGAACAATGAAAATGTCCAAAGAATTAACAATAGAATAACGCAATGATATAATTTTTATTATTAATACATTGATAATTATCAAATTATTGCTACAATTATCAGTTATAGAAAATTAACAGTTTTTGATATTTTAAAAAAAATGGATGATACTAAAATTGTTAATTCTAAGCTTTATTCTAGTCAACTACTCTTAATTAAAGATTTGAAGTGAAACTGATTTAAACAAATTGTTATCAATGATAAAGAAAAATCATTGCTTATGCATTGCAGAAGTACAATAACACTGGCAAAAAAAGACTAGCCAAGATTTCAACTTGTACTATTAATCAAACACTTCATGCAGTTATATTAAACAAATTTTTTTGCTTAATGAAAGCCTTTAATCATACTAGTAAAATATTGAAATATGTATTGCATGGTATTTGAAATACTAAAATTAGACAAAGAATGATTAATCAAAGGTCATGTTAGAGTTCCGGACGAGTCGAGTTAACTCACGAGTCAGATAAGCCAAGTCGAGTTTAAATCGAGTCGAGTTTATATTTTTTTGACTCGATGATTTGCGAGTCAAATCAAATTCGAGTCGAGTT